TCCTTTGCCCAACAGTTTTGATCCGGACTTGTTTGCTACTGGCCGTATCCAAGTAGCAGGGTTCATGGTTGGTTCAGTGTGGGTTCAAGTTGGTATGTTGTATGGTTTTCCTTGCAATGCCACTCACACACAGGCACGATACCAGACTGATACATGCCTGGCTGAACTTGTTGATCGCATCGTAGGGCAAACAGTGGGCCCTAGGATCATCTGTGGAGATTTCAACTATGCTGTCGGTGAGTTGTCACAGGTTAAGAGGCTTGTTGACCACGGCTTCCGTGAAGTTCAAGACCTTCGAGCATGGCAGTGTGGCCAATCGGTCCAACCTACAGGGCGTGGGACTAAACGGATCGATCAGGTTTGGATTTCCCCAGAGCTTCAAACATGTTTGCACAGGGTTGACGTCAAATGGGACAAGTGGGCAGATCATGCGACTGTTGAGGTCAGCTTTGTAAGTCAGGGTTTGTCTTCTATGGTGCAGTCTTGGCATGTTCCCTCTCCTTTTCCATGGCCTGTGGACTGGACTTGCAAAGTTTCTTTTGACACAGCCAGTGACCCGACAGTGGCCTATGCGGCTTTTTGGGCTTCTCTTGAACAACAAGCCAAGTGTTGGAATGCGCAGCATGGACTTCATGTAACAAAGGCACAGTGTGGTCGAGGGCAAACCTTGCAAGCCCAAGCCAAACGCCAAGTGCACCCACCCCCTAAAGTTGCTCGTCAAGGGGAACTGGTGCCAGGGTTCTTCGGAGTCAGTTTGCAGCATGCCAGATTTTTCAAACAGCTTCGTAGGTTGCAAGCTTTGCGTCAGCTTTTGAAGGCTGGGGTGACAACATTGAATGCCCAGGTCAATGCGCATGAGACTTGGCGGGCTATCAGACATGCCGCGGGCTTTCCCGGGGGTTTTGGACTTTGGTGGCAGCAACATGGACTTGTGCCTGCCCTCCCGGTTGGACTTCCGTACCTGGTGCCTGGTTTTGATTTTATTCAGCAGTTGTTTGAGGGTTTTCATGTGTTTGTCACCAAGTATGAGGCAGACTTGGGCTCAGAAACGCTACAACTTTGGCAAGGCTAAGCGTGAAGTGGATTTGAATGTAGTTTTTCGCGACTGCAAAGAGGGGCCTCCTCCAGCGGTTGACACTCTGTTGGACCGGGTTGAGGTGGCCGTAGAGGAAGTGCGTTCTGATGACCTGTCACTAGTTTTGTCCAAGTCAGTCACACTCCTCCCAGATGTGTCGGTAGTTGTTGATGGCTGTGTCCTTGAGGTCACTGCGCATGAGGCTGATCAGGTGTGGGTGTCTAAGGTTGATGGACTTACAGCGGGCACCATGCTCACACAAGAGCGCGTGGTCATGTCAGATCAGGCCATTTTGGCGCGTTTTCAATCCGTATGGGAGCCGAGGTGGAATAAACTGTCACATGTTGTTCCGGGACAATGGGACCAAATCTGTGGATTTGTTGAACGTGTCTTGCCAGTGGTACAGTGGAATTCTAAGCCTTGGACTCCTGACAGTTTTGGTGCGGCAGTCAAACGGAAGAAAGTGCGCTCTGCAAAAGGGCCTGATGGAGTTTCGCAGCCTGACTTGGCAGCCTTGCCCCACTCCGCAAGGGAAGGGATTGTCACCATGTTCCAACAAGTTGAATCTGGTCACCCATGGCCGGCTCAAGTCGCATGTGGTTTTGTTGCCAGTCTGGCAAAGCATGATGCCGCCCAGACAGTGGATGAGTTTCGGCCGGTCACAGTGTATAGCTTGTTGTATCGAACATGGTCATCAATGAGGGCGCGTGAGGCGCTTCAAGTCATGGCCTCTCTGGTGCCTGCCAGCGTAAAGGGCGGCCTGCCAGCACGCCAAGCCAAGCAAGTCTGGTATACCATGGCCCATCAACTTGAAGATGCTTTCCTGGTAGATTCGCCTTTGCATGGTTTGCTGATGGATGTGCGACGCGCTTTTAATGCAATCCCAAGATTCCCCCTATGGTGTGCTCTGGTTAAGTTGGGTTTTCCCGAGGGGGTCTTGAAAGCATGGGCTTCCTTTGTAGCTGGGCAGACGAGGCATTTTAAGGTGCGGAATTCCACTGGCGTTGCGGTGGGCTCTAACTGTGGACTCCCTGAGGGCTGTGCGCCGTCGGTGTTTGGGATGGTCATAGTCGACTGGGTTCTTGACTTGTGGCTGCATGCTACCATGCCGTGTCTTGGATTTCAGGCTTTTGTGGATGACTGGGGTGTTCTTTTTCAGGAGCAGGAGCACTTTCACGGAATTTGGCAGTCGGTTTTGGACTTTACTCATGCCATGGATTTGGAGTTGGACTTCCACAAGACAAAGGTCTGGAGTACTCATGGCACTTCCAGAAAAGAGCTGCGTCGCCACTCCTTGCAGGTTGCACTTGCCTCACGTAACTTGGGAGCCCATCAAAATTTTAGCCGGCATGCATGGAACTCCGTTTTGATTGCCAGGGTCAAGCGAATGCCTGACGTTTTTGTGCGTTTGCGTGCAAGTATCGCTCCATATGCTGCCAAAATGAGAGCGGTCAGAGTCATCGCATGGCCTAGGGCATTGCATGGTGTGTCCGTAGTCCAAATTGGGGGGTCTCACATGAAAGTCTTCCGCACGTCAGTTATGCGGGGGGTTGGTGCAGAGAGGAAGGGGGCAAACCCTATGCTCCACCTTGCCAGTGTGCATTTGGAAGCTGATCCGGAGGCCTGGACTATCATCCAAACTTTCAGGGACACACGGGAACTTGGGGAGGGTGACTTGCTTGAAGCCAAGCTTGGGCTTTTTGCATCAGGTGATAGCTCATTGCCTCAGAATGGGCCCACCAATATCCTTCAAATGCGTATCCAACGTTTGGGGTGGGCAGTTGGCACCAATGGCTTGGTGCAGGACCGGTATGGCACTTTCAGTTTGCTTCAGGTGGGATGGGATGAACTTTGGCTACGCGTTGCCTTGTCTTGGAGCCATGTTCTCTGTCAGGAAGTTGCCCACAGGTCTACCTTCCAAGGTCTTGAAAGTGCTGATATCTTGGAATCTCAATCAGTACTTTCCAACTTCAGTTCAGCTGATCAAGTCTACCTGCGGTGCGCACTTGGATGGGACGTTGTATACCCAAAATGGTCGAGCACGTTTTCAGACCGACAATGACGGTAAATGCCCGTGGTGTGATTGTAAGGATGGATTTTACCACCGTGCATGGGAGTGTGAGTTTTTCACTGACTGTCGTAGCCATGTCTCTCCGGTGCAGTTGGCCACAATACCACTTTTGCCCAAGAGTTTGTCATGTCATGGGTGGGCGGTTTCCTTACCTGAATGGGAGGTTTATGCGGGTTGGTTGCTTGAGGACCATGGACTTTCAAAGATGTCACCGACAGGCCTGTCACAGGTGTCTCCAGGTGAGGTGATTAACTTGTTTGTTGATGCTACCGCGGCTCACCCAACTGAGCCGAAGCTGAGATATGCTGCTTGGGCTGTGACGCGAGCACAAATTGGTAGCTTGAATAATGAGGTCTTGCTATGTGGGCATGTACAAGGGTTGGTTCAGACCCCTGTCCGTGCAGAATTGACAGCCATGTTTGCGGCCTTGCAATGGGCACATCAGCGACGTGTTCGAGTACGCATCTGGACAGATTGTCAGGCAGTCATGAAAGGGGTTAACCGCATTTTAGCGGGACTGCCCGTCAAACGCAACCAGGTGGCTGCTCTGTTTGACACGTGGGACGGTGAGAATGTCCAACTTGTCAAGGTGGTCTCGCATGGCTCAATTTCAGCAGCTACAGACCCGTTGGAGGAGTGGGCATATTGGCATAATGGCTTGACAGACAGAGCGGCGGCATGTGTCAATGAAAAAAGGCCGAGTGGTTTTTGGCAGGCCTGGAAGGGAGTAGCTGGTGCACTAACTTTTCACCGGCAGTTGCACCGTGCTATTCTTATGGTTTTACTGAAGACTGGACGCAAGGCACACATGGATGAGAAAAAAAGAGTGGTCATGCCGGTTCCTCGCCAGAGGGTTAGCACTGAACTGGCACCATTGCCTAGGGCACCTGAGCAGTGGCGATTTCCGACATGCATGGTGAAACGGTACGGTGAGCACAATGTCCGTATGATGCATGCCTGGTGGAGCCAGGTAGGCACACAGTACTTAGAAGGTGGGGCTCAGCTGGTGATGGTCAGTGGTTTGCAACTGTTTTTGGATTTTCAGGCAACAACGGGATATGATGGGCCATGGCTGCATCAAAAGCGATGGTTTAGCCGGGAGGACAGTGCCCCATATCAAGCCCAGCTTCCGTGGGGTTAACGTGTGAAGCCTTTTTTGTTGCTTTGGACTGCCTACATGAAACAGCAGAAACTGACAATCCCCAAAAAGATGACCAAGCCAAACTGTGTTGCAATTTGGCATTGGACAGTGTGTTACCGCCTCCGTTTTCCTGAGGCAACCATCCAACGATTTGATGCACATGTGTTTCAACAGCTTGGACGTCAAGCAGCAAAGGCGGCTGACGTTCGGGCCCTTAACCCGGCAAAGGCCAGGTAGTGCGCTCAAACTGCTGGGCAAGAGGGTCGCATCAGCCGCCCCCTTGCTCCCCAATAAGGCGAAATAAGGCGTAATATTTTTCAAGATGGTTGTAAAAACCACCAACCAGGTATTTATTTTATAGCTTTCGAACATGGATGAACATGGTCAATTTGTAGATGGTTCATGATGATTTAAGCCTACCAAACATATACACAGATTCATGTGATTTCCTGTACGTTCAATCACCAGAAAGTATATATTAAGCCATTGGTGTATAAACATCCAGAGTTACTGAGTGACTTGTTGCTTCGATCGCACTGATTGCACCAATCCACAATTTGGTTGTTCGCAACTTCAACATGTAAAGTTTGGATTTTCCCGCATTTTCCCAGTTTTTTGAGTATGGTTCAGAAATGGGAACCAGTGAGCTCACAAATGTTCCCAGTTTTGTTTTTGGAATTGATACTTAAATCATCTTAAATCCATTCCCTGTGATGCGCAATGAGGATGGTTCGCTTGGTGCACTTTCACCGCATTCAGTGGCCTCCACTCCCCCTCCCACCATTCACGGTCGAATGCGGCGGGTGCCGAGTAACGCGCCTTGGCGGGGCCAAAATGCTGGCAGGTGGCTTGGGGAGATTTCACCCAGTTCGGGACGGCACCCAGTAAAAATCGGCTTTGCCCAGGGATTTTAAGAGGGTATAATCGGGTATAATGGGATATACATATATATATAATATATATATATACACAGTTAGCGAATATAACCAACTGCAACTGCAAGACAATCTTTGGGTGTCTGAAAATTGGGCATAGACCTAAAGTGGCCACTTTCGTAGGGAATTAATGAACGTATGGGAACATGCTGATTTACCAATGGATTTAGGGGCTCAAACATAGCAATTCTTTAGTTTGTTTGAAAACAGGGCATGCTGATTAGGTTTGTCTAAACATGCGGTATATATATATATATTGCATTCATGGTTTATATATATATATGTGTATTTATATATAAATCTAAATTCAAATAAATCAACAAATAGATAAATCAATAATAATAATGAAATAACTATATAATTGCTCCATTCATGGCAATCTTAAGAGGGAAACTCATGGATCACGACGTCCCAGAGGGTGCTCGACACTTCTGTTCTAAGTTCTGCTTCAAATCTTGCCGGAGACTGAATAAATGGTTGGTGAAATCAGGTCAAATCACAGTTGGTTACCAATGGGAATTTCAGGATCCTAAAATGGAGGTACGTTAGTACCATATTGTTGGCCATATGAATTGCGGGGATATTCCCTGAAATTTAGCCCTGAAAAATAGGCAAAAAAAAAAGGTAGGTACCTCCAATAAATCGGTTCCTGAGATGGCCAGTGACATTATATCGAATTTCTTTTTGGTCAAATCTCCAATGATCTCCAATGCAAACGTTGGTTAAGTCAGCAATGTTTGTTCAGTCACATTTGTTTGCTCACTAAAACCTCATATTGTTGTTGCCTTCACATTTTTGTGGCTTGAATCACAATGTCTGTTCGTTTAAGGAAGTTTTTGTTGGGGACCTGATCTAGAAATCTAGCACAGCCTCAGGGCGCGCCGATCAACGTGGCTGAGCAGTTGGTGCAGATGTTGCAGATGCAGCAGCAGTTGCTGTCCGCCATTGGCCTTTTGGCGCGACAGGAGTGGTTGGTGCTAGGACCAGGTTGTCGGGTGGTTTTCATCCAGGATTTTGCTAACCCCCGCAGTTTCTTCACGGAGGGATACAGAATTTTAGTCTGGTTGGTGGTTTGGAACCATGGAATTTTATGACTTTCCATTCATTTGGGAATGTCATCATCCCAACTGACGAAGTCCATCATTTTTCGGGGTAGGCGGGCTCAACCACCAAGCAGTCGTAATTGAATGCTTTTCCCCCACATCAATAGTCAGTGTTTACGAATCCAAGGTTGACATTCCAGGACATGTGGCGCCATCGCAATCTCAAGATGGGTGGGAAAATGAGGGTGTCCCCCTCCGGCAATATCTATGAACAATTATTCCTTGAGGATTTACCATGATTTACCTATCTTTAGCTCTAAAAATGATGATTTTCCATAGCAACCTTAAATTATACCAATGTGTAACCTATGGGTTTTTGAATTGGAGTCCGAATTTCCAACACATCGGAGAAGCTGAGACGGGCCATGGCTTGAGACTATACACCCCCGAAATACCGTGAGTTTTCGGGAGAGTAAATATCGTTATATGATGTTATATTTCGATGGGGTTTTAAAATGTTATAAACCTTCAGAATACTATGAATATTGCCGGCAACGATGTTCTTCCACGTCGGACGGCATTCACATATGTCGAGTGACCATCGAAATCCAAGATGTCATGATATAACTGTCCTCCCATAACTAAGTTATCCCCTGCATAAGAAAAAAGGATAGCAAAACACATAGGACATAACACCCGAAGTAATATCAAGCAACTATCCTTCATGAACTATATATATATATATACGTATATATATCCCAATCTTTGTGACATAGTTTAACACCGGAACTAATTCAACCAACCATCATTTTATCACATATCCCTATCTTTTGATGCTTCAAAGCACTATGAACGATGCTTATACTCGGCCAGTCCCATAGTGCCTTCCCTTCTCTCAGCAAGCGCGCTCTGCGAGGTGCTCCACCTCTACAGGCGCGATCAGCTCGCGGGTGTTTCCCTATTCCTGGTAACCAGGTTTCATGTGTACATGGGGGATGGATCAAAGCATGTCAAAACATGTCAAAACCCATTATTACCATTGAACATCCATAAACCAGCTTTTTCCCCCTTACGCTAGGTGAGGGTTTCAAGATTTTATCAGAGTTGCTTTATCTTTCCTTCCTCCGCCCTCCTTGCTCAACGCCGAGCTCCACAGAGATCTCACACTCGCGGTTGAAGTCTGGCAGTGCCCATGTCAGAGAAAAAGTCAGAATAAATGCCAGATAGAATGCCAGAATGAGTGCCAGAAAGAATGCCAGAATGAATACCAGATTGATAGATAATTATTTATATAGTGATACAATAGAAAGTCAGAATAGATGCCAGATAGACAGCCAGAATCGAATGTCAGATAGAATGCCAGAATGAGTGCCAGAATAGATGCCAGAATGAGTGCCAGAGAGAAGGGCAGAATAGAAAGTCAGAATAGATGCCAGATAGAAAGCCAGATAGAATGTCACATAGAATGCCACATAGAACGCCTGAATAGATGCCAGAAAGAATGTCAGATGGAATGTCAGAAAAAGAATGTTAGAACATATATGCCACATATACTTCCAAGTGAGATGTCAGAAACTATGTCAAAATTTAAAAAAAGTCACGGTGGGGGTCGCTCGAAAGTAGGGTACCACGCGGCCAACCCCCCCAGGTGACCAACTTCTTTCTGACTTTCAGAGCAGTGCACAATCCTATTGAAACTGTGGTAAATTATGATTTAAATTGTTTTTTTTCCGGGTGAGATTCTTTTTAGTGCAGTTCCAGTGAAAAGAGAATATATAAACCATCATACCATAGAGTAATATTGCCAATCTTCTTACAATAGTAAAAAATCCAGCAATAACCCCGTTTCTGCGCCAAAAAAAGCTCCAAACCACAGGAAGTTGGGCCCTATTCTCATGAAAGGCAGTTTGGCCAATGTAAGGGCTATGGAAGGGGATATGCACCCAAAATATTGCCTTATATGGTATAGTCCATGTTAGGGTCCTGAAATTGATTCCTAACTGTTGTTTGGTTACTGTCCTATAACTATAGTTGCGGCAAGACCCTATGGTTTGCCTGCAAGGTCAGACGACGAACCCTAAACCCCAGACAACCCTAAAACCCTGAAAACTCTGAATCCTAAACCAGAACACACTGCGTATACGCAGTATTTTCTGCAATTTCTGGGTAAATTATAACGACCTCACTGTTCTCCCTCACTGGAATCATGCTTGGTAAGGGAAATCATCCCCAAATAGCCCAACATTTCAGGTTAGTGAAATATTATGATTTACCCAGATAGATAGATAGATAGATAGATAGATAGATAGATAGATAGATATATATATATATATATAGATAGATAGATAGATAGACAGATAGATAGATAGATAGAAAGATAGATAAATAGATATATAGATATATAGATAGATAGATAGATAGATAGACAGATAGAAAGATAAATATATAGATAGATAGATAGATAGATTGATAGATAGATAGATAGATAGAATGAATAGATAGATAGATAGATAGATAGAATGAATAGATAGATAGATAGATAGATAGATAGATAGATAGATAGATAGATGGATAGATAGATAGATAGATAGATAGAATAGATAGAATAGATAGAATAGATAGAATAGATAGAATAGATAGAATAGATAGATAGATAGATAGATAGATAGATAGATAGATAGATAGATTAGATTAGATTAGATTAGATTAGATTAGATTAGATTAGATTAGATAGATCGATTAGATAGATAGATAGATAGATAGATAGATAGATAGATAGATAGATAGATAGATAGATAGATAGACTTTCCCTCCAGTAAATTAAGACAGACCCTCGCAGATAGGGGTTGGAAGATGAGTTTCCACTAAAAATTGGTGATTTTTTATCATCTATGTTAATTTTCCAGAGGGTAATACATATATATATATATATATATAATTCCTATCATAACAACAGCGGCTCCCAGTGATGCACAGGCCCCAAGTGGATCATCCTCCTCGCAGTGCCTCGGCTCGCTCGAGTTGTCGCCGTGCGCCTGTTGTTACGCTATATATTAAGTAATTTTAAGTAATGTAAATCATACTTAAAATATGTATACATAATTACATATACATATACACATATATATATAATATAGTAATAGTATATATGTGTGTGTTTTATCAGATAGCAAAATAGTATGATATGTACATATTTTCATATATCAATATACATTGTGTATGCAGTCATGTACATACATACTTACACCTAGTCATGGATATAAAAAGATGCAATGTCCTATCATCACAAATATATACAGATGATTTCTGCACACCAATATATATATATGTTTACGACATATATGTGTATATATATATATATATATGGCGACTGACTAAGTACAGTGGGTGCTAATTTTAATGCTAGGCCGCGACGACTCCGTCACTTCATGGCAAAGCCAAAAAAATGGCAACTGAACTCCTATTTGCCCATACCTTGGCCAAAAATTATTATACCATCCCTCGACCAAGGCCAATGGCCCAACAGGCCACGATGCTCTACCAAGCCCTGCAACAGGCAGGACTTGGGCGATGGATTTCAGCAGGAATCGCGATGGGAAAACTGTGATTAAACCAAGAGAAATATGGTGATTTCATGGGATTTAGCTGATTAATGGTAGATAAGTTGGTTAACTCTAAGAACTATGGTTTACTGGTTGGTGGTTTCAAACATTTTTTATTTTCCATAATATATGGGGATAATCCTTCCCAATTGACTTTCATATTTTTCAGAGGGGTTGAAACCACCAACCAGTATAACTATAGCATTTATTGCTTTGTAAACCGACTTATCGATCTAGGGGGCCCCACATAGGGAAAACGCTGCTGGGTGTCCGTTTTGTGGGACTTCGTGGAATTGGGCTGGGGTGGGGTGGGGGAATCATATCGTTCTTGCTTCCACGCTCTTGATCGTGCACTCTTAACTTCTTCAAGTAGCTTGCAGTACGCTCTTGATGCTACGCTCTGAAATTGTTCAAGTAATTTGTAACACGCTCTTGTTGCTAAGCTCTTAACTTACTTTAGCTATGTATATATATATATATCGTACATACTGCATGCAGTCATATCACAACACACATATAGGTATGCATGGGTACGCTTTGAGCATATAACCTATAGGACGCAAATATGTAGCATACAGACATCCATTGAAGGGCAAGCCCATGTGCAAGGCACGCAATAGGCAGCATTTTGGCACATGGGGACGCAATGCAATGAGTCGTATTTAGGCACACTATGAAAAATGTGTAGATAGAATATGCAGGGTGTAAGCAATATATGTGTATGTATGTAATGTAATGTAATGTAATGCATTGTAATGTAATGCAATGTAATGTAATGTAATGCAATGTAATGTAATGTATTGTAATGTAATGTATGTAATGTAATGTATGTAATGTATGTATGTAATGTATGTATGTATGTATGTATGTATGTATGTATGAATGTATGTATGTATGTATGTATGTCTGTGTGTGTATGTATGTATGTAATGTATGTATGTATGTATGTATGTATGTATGTATGTATGTAATGTATGTATGTATGTAATGTATGTAATGTATGTAATGTATGTAATGTATGTAATGTATGTAATGTATGTATGTAAGTAATGTATGTAATGTATGTAATGTATGTAATGTATGTAATGTATGTAATGTATGTATGTATGTATGTATGTATGTATGTATGTCTGTGTGTGTGTGTATGTATGTATGTATGTATGTGTATGTATGTATGTATGTAATGTATGTATGTAATGTATGTATGTATGTATGTATGTATTTATGGTATGTAATGTTATGTTATGTTATGTAATGTTATGTTATGTTATGTATGTTTGTATCTATCTATGTATGTATGCATATGTATATGTATATGTATATGCATATAAATATATATATTTGCATGTCTGTATATATTCATGTTTTAAATATGTAAATATATGTGTTCATTTTGTGTATATTTATTAACTATTATGTGTATTCATGTATATATATATTATATGTAAAGTATATATATATATATATATATATTAATATTAATATATATAAATACACATGTGTGTTTTGTATATTTATGTATGTATGTATAGGTATATAAATATACACATTTACACACACACGTATTTGTAGGTACATAGTACATGCAAGCATGAAGGATATAGGATTAATATAGGTATGTGTAGCTATGCATAGGTACCCGTTGAGTATATAATCTGCATACAATGAGTGGTAAATTATATGTGGGATAAGGTATAGGCAGCACGCAAGCAGGTTCTGGGTAGAAATATGCAGCTAGACACAGTCCAGTGACGAGGCTGGCTGTGGCTCTCAATTGCTGCAAATAACGTACACATAGGAGGCTTGCGCCCCCCTAATGCTGCAAATAGCGTTCGATTGGAAGCTCATAATACACATGTGTAAATACATATATATATATATATATATATATACGGCAAATGCCTGGGCTTTGCCCGGAACCGCAACCACGACAGGCAACGCATCAGAATGAAGATCTTCAATGAATGTAGAAGTTTGACGGGGGTGGGAGAATTAAACCCTTATTGAAGATCTTCAATGAATGTAGAAGTTTAACGGGAGTGGGAGAATTAAACCCTTATTGAAGATCTTCAATGAATGTAGAAGTTTGACAGGGGTGGGAGAATTAAACCCTTAATGAAGATCTTCAATGAATGTAGAAGTTTAACGGGGGTGGGAGAATTAAACCCTTATTGAAGATGTTCAATGAATGTAAAGTTTAACGGTGGTTGGACTTTAATGTTCCCTAATACCTCTGTTGATCTTCCCAACTTAATGTAAAGTTTAACGGGGGTGGGATTTTAATACTCCCTAATACCTTTGTTGATCTTCACTATTGAATGTAAAGTTAAACGGGGGTGGGGTTTTGACATTCCCTAATACCTTTGTCGATCTTCCCAATGGAATGTAGAGTTTAACGGGGGTGGGGTTTTAATATTCCCTAATACCTTTGTTGATCTTCCCAATGGAATGCAGAGTTGCAACAACATTTGATTGGGAATGGGGACCCTAAACGCTGCAACGCCTGGGCAAAGCCCAGGCATTGCGCGTATATATATATATATACACACATATTATTATATATGGTATATTTACCTTCTATTTTTTTTGAATAAACACATATAAATGTATATATATATATATTTTTATACGCACTATGTTCCCATTCCTTCGCTTGAGAATCTCCAGGTGGTAGATCAAGGTGGTCTTTCGCCCTCCAGTCGTAGCAGTCGTAGATCCAGCGCGTCCGTGGTGGAGCCAGTGGACCCATGAGAACCTGGGGACTTTGATGACTTTGACGTGTTGAATAAGGGTATATTAATATGTATGTATGGTATATTTAATATGTATGGTATATTGGGACACTAGAATTTCCATAGTGAATGACTCAATGTATGGTATATTTACCTACAAAACTGGGTGTTTCTGAAGGGGCAAATGTTGGTGTGCATATTCCAGCACCATGGTTCGCGTATGGGATAGTGAATTATTGACGTGACTTTCGTTATTCATGGATCCTTTTTCATTATTAACATGAATCACTAATAAGTTGAAGGTTGGATCCAAGCTGATGATAGTGATTAATAGTGTCACTATTAATAGTGACTATGTAGT